TATTACGTGTTCTCACCATCTGCGAGAGAATAAGAATAGAATGATTCAATCATTGATGATAGAATAAGATCGCACAGCAGAATAAGAAAGAAGTGATATTGTTCCTAAACTTCATAGCCTCTGAAAGATAAGTACAAACGTCTCCGTACCGATCCTTCAGACTCTACTAAGCTTGCTCGTGACTCGTGAGACCTAAGTAACCTAGTGCTCTGATACCAACTTGTCACGGCCCGGAATTCTCACCTCCGGGACCGTGATGACGCCTAATATTCTACTTGCTAGGCAAGCCAACGTTAGAGGATTCTTTAAACTAACTTTAGTCAATTTCAATAACATAATCAATTAAACTAAATAGAAGCAAAAACTGAAATGCGAAATAACATAAAGCCCATAATATCTGATACAATTCGGATCTGGAGTCACAACTCACGAGCTTCTAAAATTTTCTACAAATAGAGTCTGAAAGAAATACAACTGTTCTGAATGAAAAGAAACCGTAAAATAGGGGAGATAGAAGGGGATTCCAAGGTCTGCAGACGCCAACAGATCTACCTTGAGTCTCCAATAAGAAAGTCCAAGCTGCTAAGCCTCACAATCAACTAGGGCCGATACAAAAATCCGCACAAGCAATGCAGAGTATAGTATGAGTACAACCGACCCATGTACTCGTAAATGTCGAGCCTAACCTCGATGAAGTAGTGATGAGGCTATGATAAGACACCCACATAATAAACTTGTGCAAATAACAGTATATGTCCAAGATAACAACAAATAACAGCTAAACATGTACTATTGGAAGGGGGGAAATGCTAAAGGGGATGCAATATAGGAGAAATACAGCGGAAATGATAACCAGAACAGTTAATATGCCTTAAACCAGTGAAAAACAATTAAACACAATAAAGAAAATTGCACGGCATCACCCTTCGGGCATCAACACTCACAATATGGCACGACATCACCCTTCGTACTTTAACACTCTCCCTTACCACATAACAATGAACAAGTAATAACAGGGAGATAGAATCATCAAGAACAAGACTTACTTCAACAATGGTTCCACAATACCAATCTCAACTTTGGATTTAATACTCAATTATCACAAAAACCCATAAACACGGTAAAAATGATCAATTTAACAAATAACTAGTCTAAGCATGGATAGCATGATCAAAGTAAGTAATAATTACAAGGAACAAGTCCCTCCCGCATGCTTTAACCCGTCAACAACGCATAAGTACTCGTCACCTCACATATACATTGTACCCAACATCTAAACATGTAGCAAATAGACAAACAAGTCCTAGTCGCTCAAGTCAAGGTTAACAACGACACTTACCTCGCTTCCAAGGTCCACTTCAAAGCTCAATCACAACTTTGCCTTTCAAACAAGCCTTTGAACCATTAGAATCTAGCAAATTACCAACCAAACGATTCAAATTAAGCCTTAGGAACTACCCACGATTGTAAAGGATTCAATTTAGGTCATTATTGAAAAAGTGAACAAACGTCAACCCCTGAGCCCGCTCGGTCCAAACCCGAAATTCAGACCAAAACCCGATTACCCATTCACCCCCGAGCCCGATTATGTAATTTATTTTGGAATCCGACCTCAATTCGAGGTCTAAATCCATATTTTACAAAAAAATCCTAATTCTACCAAAAACCCCAATTTTCACCATGAAAACACAAGATTTTAGGTTGAAATCTTAGGAAATGCAATGAAAGATTGAAAGAAACTAGTTTAGAATCACTTACCAATGATTTGGGGAAGAAGAGTTCTTTGAAAAATCGCCTCTAGGGTTTCTAAGTTTGTAAATTTGAGAGAATGAACAAAAATCCCATTTTCTCAGCTATTTGGTCAGTTGCAGATGTCGCATTTGTGACATGGGGTTCGCAAATGCGAAGAAACAGTCTCAAATGCGAAGAAACAGTCGCAAATGCGAAGTCTCTTCCATTCGTGCTGTCATCGCATTTGCGATGATTTGTTCGCAAATGCGAACTTTAACCTTCCGCAAATGCGACCGTTTGATCGCAATTGCGATCACTATACCCCCTGTCCCACTTCACAAATGCGAAGTCTTGTTTCCAAATGCGGACTTGAGGTGCCCCAGCTACTCTTCCCAAATGCGAAGTATTTTTCGCAAATGCGAACTGTGGCCTCCCCGCAATTGTGACCTCTTGATCGCAAGTGCGAACTCATGCTGACCCAGGTACTCTTCGCAAATGCGAGCCTGTCAAGATTGGGGAATGTTCGCAAATGCGAACACTGATCTAGCAATTGCGAGATCAGACACCAGTTACCAGAAATTGCAGAACCAGCTGAGTTTACTAAGTCCAAACCACTCCGTAGCCTATTCGAAACTCACCCGAGCCCTCGGAGCTCCAAACCAAACATGCACACAAGTATAAAAATATCATACGAACTTGCTCGCGCGATCAAATATCCAAAATAATACCTAGAACTATGAATCGGACATCAAAATCAAATGAAATTTTTAAGAAACTTTAGAATTGCTATATTAACAACCGGATATCCGAATCACGTCAAACCATCTTCGTTTCACACCAAATTTGACAGATAAGTCATAAATATAATATTGGACCTATATCGGATTTCAGAACCAAAATACGGACCCGATATCAATAAAGTCAAACATTGGTCAAACATTCAAAGTCATTAAGCTTTCATACTTTCAAATTTCAACAAGTCCGATAACTCGGGCTAGGGACTTACGAATTTGATTTCGGGTATACGCTCAAGTCCCAAATCACGATACGGACCTACCGGGATCGTCAAAACACGAATTCGGGTCTGTTTTCTCAAAACATTGACCGGAGTCAACTCAAATAGATTTTAAGGCAAAAGTTTCATATTTTCTTAGTTTTTAACATAAAAGCTTTTCGGAAAAATACCCGGACTACACGGGCAAATCGAGAAAGACTAAAATGAGGTATTTAAGGCTTTTAAGCGCATAATTAGGTTCTAAAATATAAGATGACCTATTGGGTCATCACACCTTACCTATCCATTAGTTTTTCTACCCACCAAACTAATTACTCTTCCTACCCATTGTAACTTTTGTGGGTAATATTATTAGTGAAAGGAGAGAGGAAAATCGTGATTGTGGCTATTCTTTCATAAAGTTAAATGAAAAGTCATAAGAGGCTATTGTTAAATCGTGAGATTAAATTGTGCCCATAATTTATTCTTGACACATTACATAAGGAGGAGGGAAGCGAGAACCTGAGAAAGCCAACAAGAGGTGAAATCGTAGGTTGCCCATAAAAGTTAAGTATCGAGAAAAGAGAAATAATTATTATTTTCATTATTTACTTCTAATACAATAAATAACATCTCCATGGAATTTCATCTAACACCTCTTTTAAGAAAAAAAAAATTGTAAAAAGCATGAGAACTTTGTTAAAATATTTAAAAAGGATCCAACTAAAAATTTTAAAAAATTAAAATACTATAATAGTATATTATATACTATAATAGTATACAGTTGCATTATAGCTATATACTCCTACAATATATTGTATACCGTAATGATATATTGTTAGGTAATTGTGTTCTTCTTTGATTATTACAGTATACCGTTACAGTATATTGTATACTATAATAGTATATTGTTGCAATATAGCTATATACTCCTACAACATATTGTATACTGTAGCAGTATACTATTAGGTAATTGTGTTCTTCTTCGATTTTTAACTGAAAGATTCGATCTCAATCACTCAAATCAACTTCAAATGTGATCAAATTTCAGTATGAACTTTCAGAAGGTATTATAAGCAATATTTAATAACACGCACTTTGAATCAAACAAGAAATCTTCAAAAATAAAAATTGAGCTTCAAGCCAACAATGGTGGATATTTAAACACACATAAAACTTCAGATTTGGGAAGCTTACTCGAAGGTACTATAAGCAATATTTTATAGCACCCATATCGAATCAAACAACAAATCTTCAACATAAAATTTTAAATTCAGGAGTTTCAAGCTCAACAATGGTGGGTCTTCACGCACACACAAAAATCATAAGGAAAGGAGGTAGAGCAATTGCTTGGGTTGGCCCTCTTAATGAAGATCGATTTGGCAGAGAAGAAGTAGATCCATTCAAGTCCACTCTCATGTAAGCTTGCAAAAATGAAGCCAAATATTTTTAACATTCTGTACTTCAAATGAGAAGGCACATAGCTAATGGGTGGGCCGGGTAAATAGTTTGGATTGTATAGGTAGGAAAAATAAATAGTTTAGACTTGAATATTAAAAGGTAAATAGTTTATGCTTGACCGATATAAAGTGAGATTTTTCCCTGAATATAGTGTCTTTTGTAGGCTAAGCCCAGTATGTGAGGGTTGTTCTGCACCATCTTCCCAAAGTTTTTAGAAATCAAGAGTACTCTAACCGTTTTAATTTGTGACACTATTTTGTTAGTCTGTTCAAGAAATAGTGATACATTTTTATATATGAAAACTATTAACTTTAAACTTTTTATAATCATATAAATATTATGACATATTTAAGATAACAAATTTTGATGATGAATAATTAAACGATGTGATGGTTCATTAAATTTGTGAAGATTCAAAAGCATAGAGATAAAGTATATATTTTATTTAAATCAGTACTTAGCCAAAAATCACAAAGACTAAGGTCGGAATTTATTCACATTTAAGGGTTTAAAAGCGCAACTTTTCCAACCCGAGTATTTTGATATTCGCTTGAAGTACAAATACTAAAGTTCGATATTAGCCCTTAATGACATTCATGTTACAATTGAACATACCAAAGCATAACTCTTTTTTAAAATGCTTTTTGTCATTACACAGGTAAGAAATGAAAACGAAAGATGAAATTGTGACAATAAGAATGGAGCCACAATTGTGAATATTGTCGCCATAAACTAGATCATAACTTTTGGTGTACCGAAGACAATTAACATCTTAAGCAATGCGAGTAGCGGACATCAAGTGACAATCCAAAAATAAAAAATAAAGTGAGAGGTGTATTAAAAACTTATTTAATCTTTTCCGTAAAAAACAATGAAGAGAATTATAAATATGACTGAAATGTTTCAGACATGTCTCCAAGGTCTTTCAGCAAGATTTACACATTCTTTGTGTCTAAAACAATAAAGCAGATGATCAATTGTCATTCCTGCAGCTTGCATGAATGAATTTACGATCACTGGACCAACAAGTCGGAATCCTCGCTTCACCAAATCTTTGCTAATGCCTTCTGCTTTTGGTGTTCTCAGTGGAACGTTTCTTGCATTTCTAAATCTGTTAATTATTGGTTTATAATTCATATGGTTCCACATGTAGCAGCTGAAAGATCCAAACTCCTTCCCAATCTGCACATATATATGTATATATAAATAAACGAGTTTAAATTCTATGCATTGATGGTGTAAGAGAATTCTTATGCTATGGAATCGTCTAAAAAATAATTACAAGTAACTATTTATAAGGTTAGTAGTTTGAAAAGTAATTCAGACACCTACCACAACATGTTAGCTGTTAGGTTAGATTAAAAGTATACAAATCGTCAGCACTAGCATTGTATATATAAGTTAAATTCTAAATAAGAAAGCGTGCTAGAGTTGGGGCCGGGTGGGAATTACCAACTTGATTTGGTAAAAATGTGAGTTTACTTTCACATATGGCATTAACTTATCCGCTATAACAGTAAAATCAATTACTTTTTGTCATACTACCAAAAAAAACTTTACCTACCATTACAGTAAACTAACAAAACTACTTTTGTCATATTAAAGTAATTTAATTTTACCACTATAATAGTAAAATCATAAAACTATACACACTATAATAGTGGGTAAGATTTAATAACTTTACTGTTATAGTAGGTAAAACTTAATTACTTTAATGAGTTAAAAATAGTTTCATGACTTCATTGCTACAATGGGTAAAGTTTAGAAATTTACTATTAAAGAGGGAATAAAAATTAAATTACTTTAATGTAACAAAGCAATTTTGTAAATTTACTGTTAAATAGATAATCTCAGAGAGCATACGTGAAATTAGCACTTGAAATTAACGTGTAAAAATATTGGTAAAATAGAACTTGCCTTGACTATGCATTTGGCGTTGTCAACTATTGATCTAACTCTATTTTCTGCTAACATGAGGGATGCACTCGAGACTAATTCTTTAATCTCCTTCTCCCCTATTTTTGCCACTTGCTTCGCATTGAATCCAGCAAAACATTCTCTGTATTACCATACATTGAAAAGGATTCTTGAACTATATTTTACACGTGACCATTATATAATTATTATAAAATAAAGAGAAGAAAATTATTACAAAATTTTACACGTGACCATTAAGATCGAGCTAATGAAGTGGAAGTTAAATTAAAGTTGTACCTTATTAGTTCCCTTCTCTTTAAAATTTCAGTCCAATTGAAGTCCATCAGCAGTCCAGCCAATGAAAGTAGCTCGAACAATCGACTGCAGTGTGTGTGTACTTGACCAGTTACTAATATTCTCTTGTGAATTATCACGTACTAATTATTCACTAAATTTAATTAGTGAATATATATGCTGTAAAATATTAAACAACTTACTGGTCATCATAGACTGGAACACCCCAGCATTCATCATGGAACTGCACATAAACCTTATCTGTATATATAGCAAACTCAATGAGTCTTTTCCATAATTTACTTAGGAAGATCAATAATCCAATTAAGTCCTAATTTCATGCCCAATTTATTTTATGCCTCTAATGACAAAGACTTTTCACTGAGGAATGTATCACTAGGTCTTTACGCCACACACTAAGCTAAGAGAAAAGAACAAAAGTATATAATTACCGTGTAAAGGATGTTTACACTAACAATGTATTTCAATCAGTTATTACATGTTATTTAATTTACTATATATAATTTTTATGTTATAAAATTAGAATTACTACAAGACAATTAATATATGTTGTTGGAGGTCATCTTAACCAATCACATATATAGCAGTATAGCACAATCACTATATAGGAGTTAAACAAAAGAAAGAAAAAACTCTCATGCATGGTGGAAGCCCAGTTTAAATAAAAACAATTTAAAGAAAAACACTAAGAAACACTAGAATTATGTTCCTTTTTGTACTTCATACTAAGAATATTAGTTTTTTTTTTAAAAAAAAACTTTACACGAAGAAACAATAGATTATATTGGTTCAAAGAATGGTCGAGTAACAAATAAGAGTAGTATATCATATATTTGATGAAAGCAAAAATAGAAAAAGAATATACCACTGCTACTAGTTATCCAGCTGCACCTCATAAGCTCTTTCTCATGACTATGATAATTTAGAGCACGACTCACTTGTGGAAAAACACTTTTAATGGCTTTTGGAACTTCAGTTCTTTGAAAGGTCGAAGAGAAATTCTGATTATCTGAAGTTTGAGATAGAGATAACGAAAGAGAAGAAAGGGAATTAGTTTTATGAAGTTCTATTGGGTAAACTTTCTTCAAGTGTTTGGATAAATAAAATAAGTTATAATTCTTGCTTGGTTTCTCTCTTTCTTTTGAGCTACTACTACTGCTGCTGCTGTGTTTCTCTATTGCATATGATCTTCTTACATTTGGCTTAGACATATCTTTGAAGGAAGAACAAAAAAGGTAGTCTTTCGCTTTAATTTGGTGGATGTAAAGATGGTTCAAGTTTATAAAGATTAGACTTTGAAAGTGATGGAAAAAGTTGGTTGAATATGAATTTCATTACGAACGTACCTTTTTATATACTTATATCTCAAGCAACTCTTTTGACATAACATTTTAAGAAAGGGATAATTGCACTTTTAATTCTTCGATAAAATCTTGATTTTGCTTCTTGTAATATTTCACTTAGCATAATTAACGATCTAGTGTTTTTGGTCCCCTTTAAATTATTTTGTAGAATTATATTACTCTCAAATAAGATATATGAAGTAATAGTACAAATTTGATATCATACATGGGTAATTAAATAATTTAACATTTAATAATTCGGTAAATTTATAAAGATTCTTAAGCAAAAGGAACAAAACTACATATTTCGATCAAATGAAGGTTAAATGTGCTTAACCAAACATCACAAGGACCAATTTCAAAATTTATCGGTATTTCGGGGACTAATACCTATACCTGTTAATCGGGCCGGACTGGCCCGTTTACAACCCGGTTCAATCCGGGTCAGCCCGGTACTGTAGCGTTTGGGTGCTGGCTGGGCGGGGAGCGGGTTTTAGACGAACAATTTTTTAATACCAGTGCACCGGAACCTGCTAAGCCCGGTAACCCGTTAACAGGTTTGTAACGAGCTACAACCCGGTTCAACCTGGTATCCGTTAAGAAAATAGCCCACACACCCCTAATATTTGATAAATTACAATTTTAACCTTTTATAAACTATAAATAGCTCCCCTTCTTCATTTTTTCTCACAATTCACTCTCTTACTACTCTAATTCTCTCTTGATATTATTGATTATTGTTCTTAAATTCTCAATTACTTATTATTTCAAGTTTTATCAAATATTTAGTTTAGCCATTACAAAATTATTATTATCAAATATCAAGTATTTAAGTGAAGTGTGGTATCAAGTATCAACTACCAAGTATCGGCCTATCAATTGAAGTTTGATTTTTGATATCAAATTTAGTGCGGCATCCGGAATCCCGGTACACTCGTTCCATCTCTTTCTCTTCTTTGGTGTACACTTATTTATTATTTAATTTCTTAATTTAATTTACATAATGGATATATTTAGAGCATCCAAAAAAGCGTACACTAGTAGAGGTGGTAGTAAGAAAACTTCCAAAAGAGCAAGAGGTGGTGTTGGTTCTTCTAGTAGCTTTACACATATTTCTGAAAGTTCACCTGAAAATTTAGTCAAGCAAGGCAGCAACTAGGAGATACCCGTCATTCATTAGGCAGCAACGCTTTGAAAATTCTAGTGTGCTTCAGAGATTGGATAAGATCAGAACGGCGAAATCAAGGGCGTAACGAGGTAGATGAAGCGGAGAACCAAGAAATTGGAGATATAATGGTTTATGGTTCCGATTCAACCAATGCCGAAAATCAACAACCTCATATTGACATGGATGAACTTACAAAAATGATGCAAAGGATGGATGTACTATTTCTTATTTTTTATAATTGTTGTAAACTTTTAATTTGCAAGTTCAAAAATAAAAAAAATCAAAAAAGAACTTGCAAATTAATTTGAAGTATTATATATTATTCAATAAAAATATCAAATAAAAGCCTTCGGAGCTTGATCCTTACATATTGCCTATTAGTCTTATTAAATAATTTTTTGTAGCCACTTACTTTTAAATTTTAATTTTAAAATTTTAAAATTCAAATTTCAAATTTAAAACTTTAAAGTTTAAACTTCAAAATTTAATTCTAAACCTTAAAAGTTTGCAAACACTTAAGTATCAATAACATTGAATAAGAAAAATAAAATTTAATTTAAAAAAATAGCCCGGCCCGGTCCCGTTAAGCCCGAATCCGGACGGTTCCAAAAAAACCCGAAAATATACAACCCGCTAACAGCCCGTTATCTCAGCCCGCTAACCAACCCGGAACGTTAACCGGACGGGTTAGTTTTTTTGTGTACAACTCGTCTCAGCCCGTCCGTTAAACACCCATACTAATACCACAAATTCCCCTTTAAGAAAAATTAAGAAAATGAGTGGTTTGTTGGATCTTTAAAATATTATTACTAAACTTGACTGAGTTCTTAATTATTTTTTTATGAAGTGTAGGAAGTAGTCTTTTCAGAAACAAAGATTCCTAGGTAATGGATTCATTATGCGATAAACTCAAGGATTTTAACCTTATGCGGTTATAATATTTGATATGGTTGGGTACTAAAGTCTAAATTAATAGAGATTATTTAACATAATACAAACTTCAACGCTAATCACAGTTCAGACAATTTTGATTTGACAAGAGGGTTAATCATTTTTTAATTATTGTCGATAGTTTAGTAGTCACTGTTCAGAAATTGTCAATCTGAGTTAGTACCGAAAAACAAAAAGAAAATTTATCTCTACTACCTGTAGTACCAATTACCAAATACTACATTTCCACTAGCATTTTTCTGTCCATTTTGTTTGTTTGCCTTTTTGTTTTTGAGTGCTAATTAAGATGTATCTACAGTTTTCTGTCAAATCAAGAACTTATACTACTAAGCTTGTGAAACTAATAATATTTTCATGCTTTCTTCGTTCATATTACTTATTTCATCAAAAATTATGTCTCAACTTCCTATGCTTTTCTTAATTTCCCAAATGAATTTTTTTTAATAATGAAATATGCTGAAAGACTTTGAAAACAATTAGGGAAGGGCTGTATATATAATAGTAGACTGTAGTAATGTATCATTCAATCATAACAAATACTATGAAGAAAATTTAAAATAATTAATCATTAGTTCAACTGTTCACCTCAGTGCAAGTGAGGCTTTAGAGCTAATACCACTATTTAGCCGGCAAAAGATGAGAAAAACCTATGTTGGCTTCATAGATGATGATATACAATCTTCTCTTTCATTTCTATATTTTGTCTAAAAAAATATATTTCATCCATCTTATTTCTAAAATACTGACTGATGTTTTGCATATTTCGATATGTGTTGATGTTACTTTACCCATGTTTTAACCACTTCTTGATGTTATTTGATCTTTAAAATTTCCAACATAGTTTAATTATTGGTTTTATGACTAATTAAGTTATGTGTGACGATTTAAGGTGTTTGGAGTGCAAAATATGAAGAAAAGGTGGTCTAGCCAGAGGAAGAAGGGTTGGATGCGTCGCATCCAACCTAGAAAAACATCATCTTTCGTGCACCCTTAGCAGTGAAGTCGGCCCATAGCGTCCGCCATAGCATCCGAGACTGGGAAGTAGAAGAGAAGGGTGGATGCGTCGCATCCACCCTCGCATGCAAAACTGGGAAGTAGAAGAGAAGGTGGATGCGTCGCGTCCACCCTCACATGCAAAGTTAAGAAATGGAGGACGAGGTGGATGCGTCGCATCCACCTTAGCATCAACCCCTGAAGCCGATTTGGACTAGGGTTAGGAGAACTCTAGCCCACGACTTTTGGACGCAATATATAAGCTTAAAAATGCTTTTTTTAGGGGGGATAGATCAGAAGAAGGGGGAGAAGCTAGAACCAAGTTCTAAAATCACGGAATTCGTCTTGAGTTCTTATTCTCTCTTTCTTTTATTGATTCTTATGCACTCTTATGAAATTTTGGATGATTGCCTGAATATGAGTGGCTAAGAACCCTATTGTTCTAGGGTCATGGGTATACATGAATGTTGATGTTTGAAGTTTAATTTGACGACGTTGGGTTTATCATATTGGGTTGTTTATTTAATTCTGTTTTTAATTATTTTGCTGAGTAGTTAACAGTGAAATACTATCTACGAATCTAGAGTTGAAACTCGAAAGTGGGAACCCTAGATTGCATATAGAAGTAAATAGAGTAAGTTCTCAAACCCGGGCATGGGGGAACGGATTCGCGATTAGGATAGACATGTACCTAATTGCCTTACTCGGTTGCAATACAGGAATTGTAAATGCGTTCTTGTTAAACTTAATT